TGGGGGTTCGGCGAACACGGACCACCACCCCGTAGCCCCCAGCACGCGCGCGCGCGCAGCGCGTTTGAACGCGATTGAACGTGCGCTCGGGGGGTTTGAACGCGCGCGTTTGAACGTGAACGCGCGTTCACGGCGTTCAAACGGTTGCACAAATAGATCTACATAGCTGGCTGGCGCCAAATGGCGAAGAGGTCGGTGCTGTCATCGTGCGCAGGGTGCAAAGAGATTACTCCGAAATCATTGCCCAAATTGAACTTATATGATGGGTGGGGTCTTCAGAGGATTCAGCTGGACAACTGAGCGGCCGAGGACTGTGGATAACTGTCATTGGTCTAGTTTCCCACCTCTACAACAACCTGGGACCACTAGTACCTTTGCCGCGTGGGAAAAAAGCGGGCCTCGGGTGGGCCTCCGACCTTTTCGGATGGCCGAAACGAAACGACAGCCGCCGATCAGATTTATCAATGGCAGCCGTCGTCGGGCCCGGCCTCCGAATTTTCAGGAGTTTGGGAAAACTGCCAGTTTTCCCTAATTTCCCAACACTGGGCGAGGTACTAGTGTAAAAAAAGAACTTATATGAATAGGGAGGGTGGACCTGGTTTCCAGCAGGTGCAGCTCCCCACGAATAGACTGTAGCCATCATGTGTCTGCAGGCAGACTACTACCAACAGGGGCTCGTATCACCCTGGGGGCAGAACTCATGCCCGGAACGGAGCCCCTGTTGGCATTTCGAGGCCGGGGGCGACCCTGATATTTTCTATCGGCCGCTCCCGAATTCGAACTTCGAGGTCCTCGGGCCAAGTCCCACTAGCAGCGTTGAGCTACCTCAACGCCTGAATCTGGACGTGTTTGTGCAGAGGTGCAGTTCAGGAAACTCGACACAATTTCTGCACATCTCCGCAAAAGCGTCCAGATTCGGCCGTTCAGGTAGCTCAACGCTGCTAGTGGGACTCGTCCCCCGAGGACAGAAGTCGTTCCGGGGTGCCCCCGCATCGAATTCGAATCTGGGAGAGGGCGAAATTCAAAACTTGGTTGGGAAATGTTCATTTTATATTTCAGACATGTGCAGTTGAGCAGCGTTGGGTCAGACGTCCTACAATTCTGCGTATCCCAAAGCAGGAGTGGATACGTCATTTACTCCGTTACATTTTGGACACCTCCACACCTCGACACCTCCTGGCCGCGAATATTTTTCGCATCATCTCCGAGGCATACAATAGAGTCGAATAGACACAATGGTCTCTGCAGTCTTCACTGCTTTGCCCGTCTGTGCGTGTGGTGCATGTTCTTGTTCTCCAGCGGAAACATGTTTTATGTTTTCTCCCTGGCATGGAAATAGCGGAAGGCGAGGGTCACTCATCGACATTTGATACTATTAGTTGAGTAGGGATATGCTAATTGTATCCATGGCGTGCTACTTGTGCAACTAAATACAGGTGACGCAGTTGCGCCTGGATCAGAGAACCCTTTTCAAATGAAGTAAAATACAGAAAATGGGACATCCTCCTGGATCTGCACATCTTGTTCGCATGTAGGCACTGTTTAGGTTATTAGCGCTACTTCAGCAGGCCATTTGCTCGCGCATCTAGTTGTGTGATTGATGGATTAGTTGTTTCTTGATTTCTTTCAGATTTCTTTGAGTAGTAAAATTCTTGCCTTCTCTGTTCTGGCGCGTGGCTTGCTCTTAGTGTTTCGTTTTTTAGAAACACGTATTGCCGCAGCAGCTTAGGATTGAGAGAGAGGGATAATCGATCTTCCGGACCGGAATTCGGGTTGGTCCCCTACTTCTTGCTATGGGTTGGCCCCTTCTTGCTATCAGACATTAGCTGGGACACATGGGAAAAAACCTGTGATTTTTTCTCCTTCTTTTTTTTTTTTTTTTTTTTTTTTTTTTTTTTTTTT